ATAAATAATAATATATATAAAATTAAAAAAAAAATCACGAGATGGTTTTTTACACGGATTCTCTCGTTATGAGGCAAGACTCGCATGTCTGTCAATTCGGTGGAATAATCCAATACTCAAAATTCTCAATCTTGTCAGTTTACTCGTGCTAAACTAGAAAATTATTTTATTTTATATATTTTTATTGGGGCAACTTTAACATATAAAAATAAAAAATTTATAATTATATGCTATATAGCAAAATTTGCATAATTGCGTTCCATAACAAACATAAAAACTGTATAATTCGCTATACATATATAATTAAAGCAAATTGTATAAAACAAGAAAGAGAAAGACAATTGGACAGAGAATTGTATAAGAACGAAATGTATAAAACGAATTGTATTATAATAAGTGTATAAAATGATTATATACAATTTGAATTTGTATGAAATGAGAAAGACAAAAGAGACTTGACAAGGAATATACAATTGAATCGAATTGCATAAAACGAGAAAGAGAAAAAATAGATAAATTTTAAAATTGTATAAAATGAGATAGAGAGAAAGACAAAAGAAACTGAGGAGAGGAATATTTTTATTGTATAATCATAAGTGTATAGGACGAAAATAAATGTACTTGCATGTATATACACAATTTTCTCACGCTTTATACAAACAGAAACGCAATTTATACATTTCGCTTCTGTTTGTATAAGTGAGAAAGACGAGGGTGGCGAGTGAGATTTGGGAGAGTGGCGAGCGAAATCTGGAAGAAGGGAGAGAGGGGAACAAAAATATATGTATGTATACAATTTTCTCTGTTTTATACAATAGAAACAATTTTTATACACTTGTGTTTGTATAAAAAGTGAGGAATTGAGCGAGAGATTGGAGGAGAGTGGCGAGCGAGATATTTGAGAGAGAGGCGTCTGACAATTTTTTGCAGACATTTGTTATGGAACACAATTAAATCAAACCCTAGCTACTCCATTTATTTTAGGTTATTAATTTACTATTATATATAACTTTTCGTTTTTATTATCATATAAGAAATGTGAATAAGAAAGCACCTCTTCGTCAACATTTACTTGAGTTTTATATTCATTTATGGCCCGTTCCAATGGTCATTGAACACATAAAGGTAAGTTTTCCGCATTTATTTTCTAACGGGCCTATTTCACTTGCGACAGTTCTGTTGCCAATTTTAAGTTTTATCACATACTCTCTCCGTTTATTTATATTTGTCGTGATTTTTTTTTAAAAAATATAAATTATAAGAATTTTAATTAATATTTTATGATATATTTTTTCGACATAATAATATGTAAAAAATTATAATTTATATACTTTTCGTGTAGTTTCTAATTATTTAAATTTTCTATGCTATCTCACTTATGAGCAAAATATATTAATAACAATCTATACTAATTTTCAAAAATACATAATATATAATATTAAAATAACTTTATCCTTGTTGGGCCCAGACAACGCCTGAACTTTCTTATATATCCATATTAGATTCTGATTATCTTGGATCTGTTTCACGTATGATTTTATTCTGAGTGAAGCGCTCTCCCTACTAGGGAATTTTCATATCCAAGATTAGCATCTAGGGAAAAGAGTGAAATATACTTATGAACTATTGGAAATGGATCAAATATTTTCCGTTTGATTTTGGGGTTAAAAATATCCTTACTGTTAATGTATAGCTCACCTTACCTCACAAAACTAACAAGTACCTTGTCAATCAACGCATAATTATTTATTCATTTAATGTAATAAAATTGTAAATTTGAATTATTTATAGCTCATGTCTCTTTATCTACTTGTAACTTCTAATCTTAAATATTATTCATAACTTTTGTATGTTGCATTTTTCATATTCTTATAATATTTAATTTGCTCTATTATAATAAACAAATATAATAACAAAGACATAACAAAAATTTAAAAGTGTTTTTACGATATCAACATTTGTGTAGTAACTCTACAAAAGATACAGGAAATTTAAACATATAAAATATCTTCAACGTAATACAATATATTGTTATTTCAACATATTACCTCTTATTCAATTTAGTTTGTACTTAAAAATATGTAAAAAAATATATTATATTTTGTGTGTTTTAAAAATTTAAACAATTTATTATGTTGCAGATGAAAAAAAATATCAATATTATCTTATTTTCTCAATACTAATTTAAATATAAATATTATATATTATATCTTATGAATATTTCGTATAACTGCGTAAACGCGATTTTTTCACGAATCTATATATATATAAATCTGAATATGAAAGTGCTGATGTGGCAGCCCTCATAGGCTAGCATTAGAATTTATATATTTTTATCTTTTTTTAAAGATCTTTTTCTCTTATTCTTATCTTGATATATTAGTTAAATTAAATAAATATCCTCTATTGATCATTTCTCTTTGAATTCCTCCATTAATTCCTTTATTATTTTAGATATATATACGTTACAGTTTATCCCTTTAAATATTTAAACCTTTCTGTATTCCTTCTTAAAAGTATTACTAAATTATAATTAAGACACTAATGACCAATATAAGTTACAATTGTAGGTATTGATTACTCCATTACTCTTTTAATTTGTTTATTCAATAGTTAAAAGTTTATGGATTACTATAAATACTAAAATCGTGTCATCTTCACCAATGCAAGAATTTTTTTTTTTCCATTCTTCATGATATTTATACTAAAGTACATCACTTTAGTTATGTCTAATTTTATAATATATAGTTTATTTGTTACTAACTTTTACAATGTGGAAGATAAGATGAGCATTTGACAATTTTGGGAATTCAAATTCAATGAGAGCAATATCTAATTTGTGTTATCAAGGTACATCACTTTGATTATGTCTAATTTTTTATATATAGATTCTGTGACTAACTTCTATTGTTAACACTTAACAGTGTGGACGAGTAGACGAGTATATGACAATTTTGTGAATTCAAATTCAATTTTGATGATTACAATATTTCACTCATGTTACTTTTTTTATTTCAGTTTGTTTAATGTCTTTTATTTACAATATTTTTTTTGTTCTTTTTTTTATTGTTTTTTTCTTCATTATTGATGATTTTAGTGTACTTATTATTTTGCGCATATTTTTTAAAAAATAATCTTTATTGTTTATAATGGAAGACAAGATGAACATATGACAATATTTAGGTATTTAAGTTTAACTTTCATAAAACTCGCAAGGAAAAAAAACCCTAAATTAATGTTTATGTCCATCAATCTTCAAATGGTGTACTGAACTTTGAGAGTGTGTACAAATTGAATAATTAGAGGCTAGGATAATTTTCTTTGGTATTCCTATAAAGATTATTTTGTTTATTTGTTTAATTTTAATTTATTTTAATTTTCTTTGGTACTCCAACAAGGATTCTTTGATTAATTTATCTAATTATAATTTATTTTTATACTAAATAATATTATTGAAATTTCAGGTATATTAATTTTAACTTTGAAGATTTGAATTGTTTTGTTCATTATCTTTCAAGATTTTTTTATGGTTTCAACATTGTATATATTTTATTTTGAATAATGAAATCAATTTTGAGGATTAGGAAATTTCACAATTTTATTTATGTTTACCTTTTAGGATAATTTAGAAATAGTAACTAAAATATAGGTAAGTTTAAAGTTGTATTTTAGTTAATACATATATATAGTTTGAGTTTAATTTATTTAAATACTTTATATTATTTGTCTAATAGAGACTATTTATCTTTCAATCTATTCATTTTTATATAAATAATAGGCAGTATATTATAATCGTAGTAAAATTAGTCAAGATAGAAAATGATTTACAAACATTTCATAATCTAAGATTAGTAAAAGATGGGGAAAAAAATTCATTACTAAAGAAAAGAAAAATAACTTTTGAAGGAAAAAAATAGATATTAGAAAAAAAAATTACATTAAGCTTATTATATTATTAAATTAAATTTAAATTTCATAAAGAGTTCAACTTATTACATTAAATTTATTTTTCTTATTAAAATAAAGAGAATAAATTTAAGATTTTTTTTCATAATTTCAAAAATTCTTAAGCAATTTCAAATTACAAAAGATATAAAATTTAAGTACTAATAATAAACTTAATTAAGACTTAAAATTTGATATATTTGGATTAAAGACTATAAAGAATCTTTAGAAATATATTTAGTAATCAACTATTCAAAAAATTAATTATTTAACAAATTTAACGAGCAACTTTTGATCGCGCGAAGCGTGGCTAAGTTCACTAGTAAATATAAATTACAAAAGCATTCTCTATTATCTATATAAGTAGACAAGTTTTAATTGACATTAATGGATCACTACATAACTTATAGTTTAAACTCTAAATAAATACAATTTCTAAAAAATAGATTAATTAAATTAATTATTTTGTATTTCCTACATAAAAATATATTTGTAATTCTCTTTCACTTGCGTAAATAAATATTAGAGTTGTGATTATTATTA